GTTGAATATTCCTTTGTTAAATTTAGCAAGTTATTAAAATATGACGATTGAGCCTGCCGTTGTCATAATAATCGAACTGCGTGTTGATTACCGTTCCAACGGTCCATAAGATCCTTGGGAAACTTGAGATAGTCGGCTGCATTTATTGTTTTAACTTCGACGAGTATCTCGTAGTAGCAAATGCCCCTGACGACCACTGCAAGTACTACTGTCCCAACGGACTTGATACTGCCACCTAACTTGATTTCTACCAAAGCGACGTATGGCGCCTGTCCAATAGGCGATAGAGGTCAAACCGTGACTCCTCTATGGCGACCGTACGCTCTAGGTGGGTCTTTTGTCAATTGAAGTTCTGCCATGAGTACATCACATGTATTTCCCACTAACCTAAAATCAATTCATGAGAAGCTTATTTTATACTCAGTTTTCGCATTTTTAATATTTGAGTTATGATCCTGTAACACGTAACATGTGAAACGCCATCGCTGGTAGGAAAAGCTCTTAGACCCCAAGACTATGCTTTTCATAAAGAGCCTCTTCGATTGTGGCCGTGCGCTCATACCTTCCGGTCTTGACATCGAGTCACCTTCTCGCTGGTCTCCAACACCGTTCTTGAGACATATTCACATATTGTGCTTTCGTTTGAAGCTTCTTTGCCTATCTATCTCCTACTCCGGAACACTATGACTTTCGAAAGACAAAAATGTAAACTAAGACCAAAACATGTGTGTGCTTCTGAGCAAAACTTAATCTACTTTTACTCATAAGGTTTTAGAAGGTCCTTTATCAACCCGATTTCGTCTGGTAGCGGCGCATAGTTCAAAAGTTATTCAAGTTCAAAGTTCGCTCAATTCAGTTGTAAGTGTTTAATGTATTCGTCTGTATCCACTTGAGCATATTAATGCTAAGTAACACCTGCAACTCATATGTACTTATGAAGCAACAGAAAGCATTATGCGTTATGGGCGGCATACATTAGGGAGGTAACAGCCAGTCCGACTTTGTCTAACCTTGAAAACAGTTGCATAATTAAGTTCGTCACGCATACAAAGGGTTATATTCTAAAAAGTCGTATGATTCTGCTCTCGCAAATGAAGGTCATTGAAATATCTTTAACGTCTAACTACTGCTCTACGGACATTTACGAATAAAATACGTTCTAATACCAAAGCAAAGTTGTGCAACTAAAATTGTTATACAACTTATCTGTGTCAATATTCACCCAAAAAACCATTTAGTATAACCCACTAACAGTTTGTACCCAGGGGCAAAGAAGCGCCTGTTGTAAGCCTTGTATTTAACGCTGCCTTATAGCCCGAGATCCTAAGAAAGGAACTATCGTTGAACAGATGCGACTTTGGTTGAATTTTCGACCAGCCGCAAACCTTCAAGCCTACATAGTCATTTCTATGTATGCTCTAATATGGCAAGTAGCCTACGGCTTTGTCAGTTCCGGTTCTTCTGAGCGCGTATGAAGCTTAATTGAGATGTGAGGGGAAAAGTGTCAAGGTACTTTTAGCACGCATTTAAAAATAATCGTTCTAGCACAACTAGTTCAAAGGTTATTCTGATATATATATATATATATATATATATATGCGCGCCATTTTGATTTATGACCTTCTGCCATCTTATGGTATTTTTCATATACAGGTTGAGTGGATGAATTCTGACAAGTGGCTCTTTTTATCGAAACCAAAGTAACAATATTATGGAAGTCATGCAGAGACTGAAACAAATGACAGTACGGTGGATGCCTAAAATCCCCCATACAAGTTATCTCAATTTTTCCAAACAATTAAAGAAATGTATAGTCTGGCATAGTTATCGTGCAAAAATACGGCTTGTTAGTTATTGACTGTAAAAGTCTGAATCAACTGTTTTGTCAAATGGCGACAGCTTATAGGGTACGATATTTTTCCAACCTTCTTTAGGGTTGATTACTCGTGATCACGAATTTTAGAAACGGTTTGAATTCTAAATTTATAGAATTTCGCACATAAAAACACGATTGACCCTTTGTTGATTGATTTTGTATGTTTAGTTCCTCGTTGGCAGTGCCATCTCTGGACCGTTTCTTCGGATAAAGGCATATATATATAGATATATATAGCGACGACACATTTATCATATAATGCGATATATAATGGGATTTCTTATATTAATGCTTGAAATCTAGCCAGGGTTTGCTGTAGCGATGTTGCCTGGTCAGAGAGAAGACTTCGTTTGCTCAGACGAAGTCTCCCTTTTCTCCTGAGATCACTCCCATTAAGCGTTGCGCGTATGTACCTCGCTAAGCTCTGCAAAGAATTGCTTCTGTAGCAGCAAGTTGTCTGGAATAGGAGTAGGTCCTTAAGTACGCGTGCTTGATTTTCCTTGCTTTAAAATTAATCGTCATAGCAACTCACAAATTTCCTGATTTGATGGTATACGTTGAGAAAACTATAGAATCGCTTTAGCATTCCTGTACAGTTTCCAATGCCTACGTGTCCATCAGTCTTCTCAAAGTGGCAGAGTAATTGTGGCTTTAGACTGAGCTCACGTAATGCGCAGAGACGCCGTTTTCTTTCGACATGGTAGGAGCCTGCTAACGACTACGTGCCCGGAAACATTTGTCTCTGCACAAAATCTAATTATAATGTCGTTTAGACGAAGATCTATTCGTTACATTTTCCCACCATCAGCGACTTCAGGCCCCCCAACCTCATAGGGAGCACCATTTCCAAGCCCTAGAGTAGGCGCTATTTCTGAACTCTATAGTGGGCGTCATCTATCAACTCCACATACATAGCTACACTGTTCTCTTCTTATATAACCTATATTCTTGCAGTATGCACACCACGTGACCCTAAACGAGATTTCGCGCTGTTCAGTTTTTGTTTGAAGTGTAAGGCAAGTATTTATGACATTCAATGCAGCTGCTTCGTGGAGTGAAATCGTGCCGAGATAATAACTAAGCTGACCATCTTTTGGACTTCCGCCAGATAAATACAGTTTAGAGGAGTGAAACGTTGTTGAGACGATCCAACAAACCAACAAGGAAAAGTAACGTGCGTGGAAAAAGAGGAAGCTTAATACAAATAGTAAGCCGAGCGGGACTCTGTACAATAAGGCGCGCCGAGTGCTAAGGTACAAGGTCTCATGCTGTCAGTTAAGAGATGCACTGAGAAATTACGAGGCCAGCTGACGTTCTACATAGCTGAGCTACGTTAGTTTACGTTATGCTAGTTACGGAAAATTCTAAGTCTATTCATAGAGGATTGAGAAAAAGGCGTCAGCAATATTCGTGTATTGCTCAAGGAGACTACAAGATGATGCGCAACATGCTATGTTCGATTACTGTTTCCCCAATCTCCTAAAACACTGCCTGACGGAGATGTGCGTGACGGACCTCAAAGAGTATATACAATGGGTCTGTGAATCCAAGGATGACTGGCAGAAGACGAAAGTAACGGACAAAGAGTAAAGATTTCTTAAGAAAGATGAAATGGCCCAGCTTGAGAGATTTTCACGAGCCGATCTTTGTGGAGACAGTGCTATAATAGGGTCGAGTATTATTCGGCACACAGAACTAAGCTCGTCTGAAGAGCCGGACAAGTCAATCAAAGAGACTATCGCCAACGCCAGCCACTACCTCACAGCAATTCAGCCGACCGTCAAACAGAGTCGGCTGAATTGGCCTGGCAGTGAGGGAAAAACTGAGGGAAGTGAACCTAACTTCGAAGGATTGATTAGAAAAGAGCTGTCCATCGTTATATAGTTCATACAGAGCCAACTTTGGAATTATTGACTTTGAATCATCACAATTTTTTGTCGGTGATTTTTGGTGCTGGTCACTGCCTGAGCAAAGCATCTATTGCTTAAGATCGGCTCAGATAGTATCGGCTTTAGAATATGAGCCCAGTTAAGGCTAGATATTAATACTATTGTACAGGTTGTTCATCCTACGGCTGCACGGATGCCGCACAAGCACTAATGAATCCACTCAATTTCGAAATACGCCTACGAAAAGCTTTGCTTGCCGCTAAAGACGGAAGTCCATTCAATGCAAAACAAAATTAATTTATATCTGAATACACATCCTTGCAAAAGGTAGTAAAACCACTGTAGTTAGTAAGAATGTAAAAAAAGTTCTATCATAACTTTGATCCTGGTAACCTGACCTACTTTTTCGTTCCGTATTACGGGCATCAAACAAAACAGCAACCTCATCGCCCTTCTTATATGATAGGATATTCTCATAGTTACCAAATCTACCACACGCTGCGATAGGTCTTTTTAGCTGGACAACAGAGATCCATGGAGTAATGGCACACATTCAATACCGAAGGACTGAAGCTTGATGCTAGCAACGATTGCACTAGAACTTGCCGAGCGTTCCCACTACGACATCGGCGCGAAAGGTGCAAGTCTCAGCAAACGATGAAAATTTAAGTATGTTTCCGGCCAAAAAAAACGTCGCTGAAGTGTGCGTTGTGCTTTCCTTCCGGTACTGCTTCATTGTCAAGAAGACGTGTTCAAACGAATTGAGCGTGTTTAAGAGCATTTTCGCAGTCAAGACATGGGAACGGTCTTACACCGTTTTTTTTTTCGAGCGGAAGTGTTATCCTCGCACCCTTGCTTGGCCTGCATCGATCGATTTCTTAGAAAAGCTCTTATTTATTTGGATAAACAAATTGGTGCTGTTCATGTTTGATTTGTTTCGTGTCAGATTACGAATATAACGTTTTATACTGTGCAAAACTTACTTACAACATCATTTCAAACTGTATAGTCAGCTACGAGTAAAAATTAAGAAGTTCCTTATACTTTTCTCCTAAGATCGATACATATATTCATGCTTCTATAAAATATAATTATAGATGCATTCCTAATTTTTTATGTAGAGGACATGCCAGCTTAAATGTTTATCGGCTAAAAATAACGCATATCCTTCAAGGTAATTCGTCATTTTATTTATCCTCGTTATCATGGTCATCATTTTAATATATATTTTCACAAACCCGACAAATATTTTGACGCTTTTATTAACACCACAGCATAGAGACCATTTCTCTTTCATCGGACACTCTCGTTTCTTGCCCTTTCTTACCCTGTCCACCTCTACCTCCTGCTCGGATTATTCTATTACATTTACATATGGAGGCGTTTTTCAGTGAGAAGAATAAATATATACACCAGGTTCGACTGTTTTTTTTCAATGTCATTTATATATTCATCAACCCTCGTTTATAACATCATACTGTACAATAAGGTAAAATATCTTATGAAAAACTGCTCTTTTTTAATCAGTTTTTTTTACATGTTGTGGGTAACTCTAGAAGAGAGTCTGATCGTTACTCTGTCTCGTAGATGTACCCCGTATTTTTTTTTTTTAGCCGTTTTACAAAACTGTGTGACAGACTGGTGTCGTTTACAGATTGTTGGTGCCTTGCTCAAAGCCGGCCTATTCTTTCCCGGAGTTAATAGGAAATGCCTCAACGGGTTTTCTGCTCTCATGCACAATAGATAGAGCCATTTGTCACGGCAAAAGTCATCTTCGGATTTACTGAGATCCATTGTATGTTTTCAACATATTCGTCGTATGTTCCTTGCTCGGAATCTCTACTTATGATAATCTGATCCCGCCATAGGAAGAGGACTATTTTTTTTACTCTAAACTGTACTAGAAAATATTTTTAAAGATACAGATTAAAATTAAATGTCTGTGTCAATCGACAGTGTTAAGGCTGCATTCATCTTACATTTGCATGTACTGCCGCTACAATGGTCCGTTATACGGTCCTAGTGGTTTATGTGTATGCATAGATGAACTACCTCAAGCTGCTACACCACCCACCTGCTTCCGCTGTGAAGAGTTCTGGACTTCGTAAACAGCCTAGCTTTTTGAAAGAAATTGTCTTAGTTAGTAACTTTAACATGCCTTGAGTGTCCATTTCGCCGCCTGGCCAAGTGAAAAATGTTAATTAGATCACATTTTTTTTTATACTCTCTATACTTGTCTGAATTGATACCATGAAAACATGGCGTGTTGCTCTTAATCTACAAAATGTGATTGTTGTTCTTACCTTTTGTTTTTTTCCGACGACGCCCGCAGTTGCATCCCATACAGATATCATAATTCTATGCTGTTTATTATCCTTTCATGCCGGCATGGGCGTGTACGTGTGTGTGTGTGTGTGTGTGTGTTGGTCTATGCGTCTGCACGTAAAATTCGTTCTCACGAAACAACTAAGAGAGGCTGAATCTATTTCCTTTAGTATTCTATTAGCATAAGCAATAGTAGTACTGATTACTGGAAGCAAAATAAACTCGGTCTAACTTCAATTCGATTTTACTTCGGTCTCGTTCAGTTATTCCCGCTGGTTAACATTTTCCCCGACTCCTCCCAGATCCACTCATCTTACGAATAATATCGTGGTACGGGAATTCTCACGTCGGAAGCAAACAAAAGAGTCTTCGTTTGCCTTTCTAACTGCAGATAAAAGACTCTCGATTCGTCTTGGGTGCATCTCGCGCATTCGGGTTTTGTTTTATTGACTGATTTCATTGCGCGGGCTGGGCTATTGGCGGAAGCTACGCGAAACGTGTAGGAAGTTGATTTGTTTGTTGGTACGACACAAACAGGATGTTAAAGTACACGATGTGAGGGTATATGATTATAAATACGCAGAAGTCGACTTATGGTAGACTTTGTTTGAGTGCACCTTGGCGGCTGGCAAAACGCAATACGTCAGTGAAGCGAATCAGAGAATCTGCACACGTTGGACGATTCTGCAGTCTGCAGAAGCACAACGACCCAATGGCCAATGCAGTTATGGTCTATTGCATCAACGGTACAAACTATAATTTTAGGATATCAGGCATTGATATCTATTGCTTGTTTTTTTTTTGTGCTCAAAGCACATTTAAGTGCTACATTCCACCAAAATGTATACGATAGATTCATATTTAGTGTACATTAATTCACTTTATCGATACTACTATAATTATACTCAGTCAGGAAAATTCCAATTTAATGTTTTTCTTTCAATTTACTCATTCAATGACGACCAGTTACAGGTCCCTACGTTGAAAAATCGCGGCCATGACTTTTGTGAACTCATTGATTTAGCTGTTTTAGCATTGGGTCAGCAATACTATCAACGTTGTGCAGGGTAAAACTGAGTTATCATCGCGATTTTCTGCAACAAAATATCTTCGAAACAGGGCTGCCTAAGGGGGATGTGAAGTCGTTTAACAATGGTGAGTCGCAGCTTGCAGGTTGCATTCATTCTTATTCTCTTGGTTAGGTTTATCGGCAAGCGCAATTTTCGACGAATTTTCTGTGTCGTTCGGCGTTGAGGTGTTGCCATTTACGACGAGGTACTTCTCGAAATCGGTTGTTTGCCTCATTTCTGCGAGCTTCTAGGCAAAAGTAATTTAGGAGTTCGCGTCCCGTCAATATTGATCCTTCGGCTTTATCGTGTGCCTGACCGTTGTCATTGTTGTAGTAAACGTGCGATTTTCGAAACGATTTTTAGAATCTGCAATGCAACATACAGCAGAACAATCATATGCACAAAGAATCTAGCTGTAAAAATTAAAGCGGATGATCGGTATTTTTATCAAAAAACAGCATTGATTTAAAAAAATTGCAGCATTGATTAAAGAAAAAAAAAATAGAAACAATAGCGCCCATTCAGCAATACGAGCGTTAGAGGGTCTTATTGTTCCGCATCGATGTGCTCAAGCATCGATCGACCGACCCTAAATGTAGGTTTCGTGAGCATATCAATGATTTTACTAGAGGTCTGGATCTTAGCTCTGAATCTGTTGAGAAATGAATAATAACATATAATCGGTGCTTAATATGAATGAATGAACTGAATCTCGGCCTGGGTAACAGGGGCATAACTAAGAGTTAGTGATCTTAAAATTTTAGACCGAAACGTGCACTTAGGACATCGGTACGTCTGATTACATTGTGCATTTTAGCGTTGATTTCATACACATAAACAAATAGTACGACAAAGGAACACAAAAAAGCTCGCCACATCTATCAATCAAATTATACAAATAAATTGTGCGGTTAGTAAACTGCGAGCAGCGTTTCTCTTCGGTATCACTGACGCGAAGCCCTGTTTTCAAAAAAAAACAAGCGAACACTCACGATTGTTCGTTTTATTTTTTGATGTATTTTCGTGAAAACACTTTTTTTTTTTTGGAACGACCTAGGCTGGTGTGCTTTCTCTCTTTCTCGCCATAAAAATACGGACATCGCCGGCTCAAAATTGAATGCTCACAATGGCTTATGGCCACCGTACCGTTCCGTAGGTCTGTTGGAGAAGTACCGAATAAAATAAACAAGATCCACCGAGGCTAGACCTGTTAGTTGGGGCAAATCTTTGATGCTATACCGAAGAGACGATTTTGAGGACGTGTTCACACAGTACAGCAAGCCGAAGTCGTTAGAAAAAAAATTAATCAATTAAAATCTTTTTAAAAAAATGCATGAGATATATTATACGAAACGAAAAGGAAATCAAACAAGAATCGCGTGCAATATTTGTCGGCAGACAACATGTTCAGTTATTCATTATACGGCACACCTAATTCTGTATGATATGATTTGCACTATCAAAGACTGGCTCATCAACCTTTACATATGTTATCTATAGAATCAAGTTCAGCTTGTTGTGCACGTTTCCCATGCAATTGCACGATCGTACTGCCCATGTCTCGATTACCCACTTTCACTTGAAACTGTTCCGTCCGTATTGTTATGCTGAGCGTTTTTATAAAGTGACATGGCAAATCGACTTAACATGGTAAGTTTGCATTATAAACAACTTGCATGTAAACCTCCCTAGAGAGGCGCTCTATGTTACTAACATTAGTATTACCTAACTAACATTACCATAGTTATAGCTTCTCTGTTTGCCGAGGAAGCTTGAAAAGAACAGTTTAAATGTTTTTAGTTTTAAGCTGTCTCGGACGACTGGTTTCCTTTGTTAATGCGTGGATTCACCGGACTCTCAGGATGGCTACGGGGTGTTCAGGTGTGGCCATGTACTCTTTCGCCATGTTTCCAGCTGCGGACTACGACATGGTTATTAGGGGCGTGAGAATAGTTAGCAGTAAGCCGCAGTGATAACGACAAGAGCTGGTAGAACGTAACAACAACAAGTTGAATTTCAGCAACAATAACAACTAGATATGTCGACCTAAGCAGAGGGGGCTTGGTTAGTGATGCACTGTTCATAGACAAATAGGTACTCAGGTGAATAGGTAAGTTAGCATGTAATAGATATGGTAGTTACGATGGAACCGGGAAGACGGGCAATACAAAATCCAGTCTGTGAATTTTACTGAGCAATTAGGATGTATCTTAGTTAGTTGGTAAAGGGGTTGTCTGCGTTAATGGTTGGCGGTCTCTTCGAACGGATTGAATGGGGGTAGGTCTTGTACTTGCAGAGCTCAGTCTATTGGTGCGTGAGATAGTGGTGCATTTTAATCGACGCAGTGACGGAGGGGTTAGGCATCCACGTATTGACAGACCGGTTCAACCTTTACCTTCGGGTGGGTCAAGCAGGCACAGGATATCGCAGTGATGTTTTCAGCCTTCCAGAGGCGACACGGTAGACCGTCCAAGCTTCCTGTGTGCGGCTGACAGGAATATAGCTCAGTTTATTCGTTTGTTATTAGCATCCATCAGTGACGCAGCGCGATATACTAGCACGATCAGAGTTGCAGAAAACATTGCTTCTTTCATTGCTAGCGCGACTGAGAAACAACATCACTCGTCAGTGGCACCTGGCTGTTTACGTCAATGGCAACGAGCTTTAAACTGACACTGGTTGTTGAACATTCAAAGTTATGCATGCGATTATGTTTTCCATTTAGACTAAGACTAACGCACACACATACGGAAACGACACTGCCAAGTCCCGTATTTCCGCAAGCGTTTACGAAAAAAAAAAAAAAACGAACTGGGGTTCAATATGATCTACCGCTCTCAGGCAAAGCTCTCTTTTGGTGACTCGTCGCACACTGTTAATTAGCTTATGGGATCTGGCAGGTTACTGGCGTAATTAGGCTGTACGCTTAGTTCTCTATCCATCAGGTCGAGGTTAATCGATTCATCCACTACGCCTGAACGATGGACTAGAATCCTTCGTTCGTTTTTGTGTGTTAGTTATCTCCTTTGTTTCATTATATCATAGATTATTATTATCAGTATGTTGTGTAAAATATTTCTAACTTTTCATCCTTTCTTTGCTTCATTGATGTTCGTTAATCGAGCATTATATTTTTTCTAATACATTATTATGATTATCGACTATGCAGAAATACGTCCCTTTTTACAGTTGCGATAACGACCCTTTTTTGATGCCTGATTTGAATTCATATTTACATGTTGGAGTGATGAGCCGAAATGTTTACCTAAGTGTCCTCTCTCTCTGGTCAACATAATATATATATATGCTTACGCATAGACTCACCGTAGAAGTTTAGATGCAGTCGGCGACAGCTCCATAAAAGAAGCAACTAGAGTGACTCAAATGTAGATAGCCATAACAACAGCACCATCTATCTCAAACACATGGACCATTGTAACCCAGTTTTTGTTTCGTTTTTTAGTAAAAAACGCACTTGGTGAAAAATACAGTACATAAATGAGATTGTTCCTATTTGAAATGTCTACCACGTTGATTATAATCGTTTGATAAGAAAAAATAGTTTTTGGATTAAGCTTTCTACTAGAAACACATAGTAAGGATTAGTCTCTGCGCGTCTTCAAATTACCATAACAACGCAAAATACCAAATGGATAATAATTAAAGAAATTGAAAACGGACCAATGTACTAATTCGTATTTAAAAATCTCTGTTTTCAATGATTAGTCCGAAGGCTAAAAGAGTCTGACGGGAGCGTGCTCCGGACAGTCCATTATCATTCAGTTGTGACTCTATAAAACGTATGAACCGTGAAGCTCCGCTGTGCCTCATCGGACGCCTTAAGAGTCGTTAGACATATCACGCTCGTATGAGACCGTATATAAAGGATAAATATATTAGAAATCTATGCAAATCCACTATGGATACATATGACAAATATGATGTACAGTTGATCTGGGGACGTAGACAACACTAATAACCTGAAGAATGACGCTTGCTCTTACTAGCAATGAGATCAGTAAAACAATTTATACTTCGTGAACTTGGTGCCCGTAATAGCGTGCCCTATCCACGTATGTCCTATTCATGTGAAATATAGTCTTCCTTCTATGCCTCGCTGATCCCCGTTAGCTTCTCGTTCGCACACGACGCGATTGGTAATCCCACGAGCATTTACTAAATGGTAAAGGCATTTAGTTCTAGTTCCGCACCAATGTTAAGTAACAGTTAAATCGTGACGAATATCTGCAGCAGCTCATCAATTTCTATGACAAAAGGCGACAATAAACGAACATGTTACGAAAAAAGAGAAGATTAATTGATGCATAAATTCGAATGAAGGATACGCGCCTTGGCTCTTTTAAAAATGACCAGGTGTCGGATACATTTACCCGTCAAGTCACTACGGACTCGACAGTCTGTGCAGCGGCAGCATATGTTAAAGCACAATACTGAATGAGAGCGCGAAGGCAAGAAGTAGGTGAAAGGAGATCTTATATTTACAAACGACGGATATCTCATACTCATATACGTATTGCAAGTCACATACATTAACACAAGTCATAGCCGTTAATTAGACTGATGTTTTTGTAAGGTGATTGCAATGAATGCTTTCGTTATGGGACAAATAAGAAAAACAGAACCGTCCCACTCAGTTTGTGACTATTTTTGGGTTAAATATGAATTGGACAGTTTTGCTGAATCAAAATGTAAAGAAAGAAACAAATATTTGCTCTTCATTATCCATCCAAGTCTACGAAACGATTACATTGTCACACTTACATAGCCTAAGACGATTGGCCCTCCTATCTCGTGGTGGAAAGGACAGACATACCGCAAATATAACCTAGAAAGTCTGCATTCTGCTTACGACGTGTTGCGTTCCACGAAATATGTCAAGAGCCGAAGTCTGCGTCCTCCGCCGTCTTCGGTTAGCTTGCCATACTAGATCTTGCCTTCGGAAGTCGTTCAAAGCTCTTGACAAAGTGTAAGAATGTTGGCTACGTTGCTTCCAAACGAACGGCCTTTAAACTCTCCTGAACCTAAATAGAGAGATATAAAATGGAGCGGTCTGGCATGTTTGCACTCGGCAAGGCCCAAGTTAGTTCTTAGAAAAAAACACACGAGCTTATGACGCACACGGTGTATTCGTTGCAGTGGCGCTTAGTTCTTCATATGTTCTTGTTTAATGAGAGGCGTTGTTGATGCCGTCGCTCCTATTCTATATAACTGTACACATGGACAAGTAGCTTCGTAAGAAGGAACAGGCGTCAATTTCCACCTCGAAGCGCCATTTTATCAATGTTAAAAATGGGGAAGGGGAAGTAGCCTTTCCTAAAATAAAGAATAGAAATGTTGCAAGGAGAACGGCTATATATTGGAGAAGAGATGCTCTACATGTCCTTCCAGATGATGCGACTAAGCTTGCTTCTTGGATACAAAACAGAGCCTAGAGAATATGTATCATTTAAATATTGCAATGCATTTGCCTTCCGGCCTCTCAATTGCTAGGGTTTTTCTTACGATAATAGCAATGGTGTAACTCAATACAATAATCACGACCTGTTTTTACATGTATGACGATGCTGTATTACTGCTGGGCGACCCTTCGTGTATAGTAAGGCCTAGATGGGCATCAACAATGAGGAATGTTTTAGGAAGCTGCAGACATATGTCCGAAATTTTTAAAGGAGGCGCAGTCGTTTGTTTCCTCGGTTTAATGATGTCTGCGCTGTAACAAGCCGTAGGAGAACTTGGGCTTGACGCAACAGAAACGGAAAATTTTCTCTAATATCTTGAAAAACAGACAAACACTACAAACCGCTTTTATTTCTAAGTTTGCTAAAAGGAAAAACGGGTTTTTTAAGTCAGGTCGGTTATTCTGCTCCATATCGTGACTATGGAAAGAAGTGTGTGGCTAGGGCAGAAAGAATTACCTTCTAAATTGTCCGCGCTTGACCATCTTGCGAAGAAGTCAACAGCAAAGTGGCTAGACCTAGGTCCTCTGTCTATCTTCTGCGGCCATTTGTCTTCCAAACGTTGTAGTTAGGTCGGACCACAGCAGCTGTAATAAATCTGAAGGATTTTGCCTTAGGCAACGGCGGTGTTATATATAATACAACACTGCAGGGTTGACCCAAGAAAAAGCTTACTGCAGAGCTCAAGTCTGTCTAGACTCGTAACAATCAAAGATTGTTTTAGCTGCACTCTTACCGGCAAGCTTACACATGAAACATCCGTCCCATTTACACTTTTGAAAACCTTCCAGCCAGTGAAGGCGGAATAATTTGTTCGAGATGTTGGCTTGCTTAGAGTTCTTTAAGTTTGGCCTTCCTTGTTAGTCGATGTGTATGTTTAATGAAGCTAGAACGCACGTTGTTTGGTATCGAGAAAAGGATAACGTTGCAGAATTTCCCAAAATTACTATTAAGTATTTTAATCCACTTCTTAGCTGGTTGTTTGTCTGTAAAAGTTCATATGATAGGCGGTGCATCTTCTTCGTTTTTCTTGTAGGACAGAATACCGTTCCAGAGAGCACTGAAGTTGTCGCTTTTTTTCAACTTGTCTCTCTCTGTTATGTCGGGACCTACTTCCATCTACGGAACTCTGTTAATCTCCGCTGGCGATACCTTGCTAATTTTTGAGTCCTTAGTAAAGTTCGTAGATTACTGCATCTATCAATTTTTAAGTAAATCCGCAGAAATCTCGAGCAGGCGAGTATCTTTATGCATTAGAGGTCATCTTGATTCCCTCGAAGATTCGAATAGGGATGGAGACGCTCTTACATAAAGGTATGCTACGTCGGCTTTTTTTTTGATGAATTTAATAAGTTAAATGGTATCTTTGTTTTGAGCTTCATTACGTTTTGTCTTGGAATTTGGACCTATACATTGAATTTAACGTGCGCTGTTTAACTTTTGTTTTATCTTCCCAGTCTCGCCTTAGACGTTGTCTTGCTTGCACAAAGGTTCCGAAAACTAAGTAGCCTTTCAATAGACAGGATGTTATCATTTATGTTTATGCCGGCGATTGTCGAGCTTGCAAGTTGGTAAGGTCACGACAGGCTTGCTAGAATTATGCCAATTCTGAAGGGACAAATGCTGCTGGCCGGACGCTGAGCTCTTTATCATAGGCGGTTTAGGCGTGATCGCTGTCAGCTATAACCCGATTTATGGCTGTGCCATAGTAGGGTACCGTTTTGGCCAAATACTTTTATGTATTGGGCTTTGCTAGTGAAGGATTTCGAGTACCCTGTTACTCGTGTTAGACAGCAAGGATCTTTTGTGATTCACCCTCTGCGTTAGTGTTGCCAACTGGAAATTAGGAACCAAAACTATGAACGTATTCCCTTTTTAAGCTTAACTTACTGTGGGCGGTTACTGGAAAACGACTGCATCTGGCTTGAATTCCTGATTAAAAGATGATAGTTTTAAATTAAATTGCTAGCGGACGACTTAAGAAAACTCTCATGCATTTCTTGTTAGAATCGTGTCTTCCGGGGCTTCGAGGCGCGTTCGGAGCTCTTGCTATTGAGAAAGAACATTGTGGGTCCTGTGCCAGATGCTTTGCTAAAACAACCTGTAGCAAAGCACCACCAGTGTGTACTAGACTGCATGTTTATGAGCTAACCTATAAGGTTGCTTGAAAGGGTAACATTATAGCATCTCTTGCAAGTGCCTGATGCCCATATAATGAGCCAGTTGTGCCCACTCGACGAAATATTTTCCCGTTAGGTGGGTTTATTCCTCTGCAGAACTTCACAACGTAGCCAAGTGGCCATTGAAACTCTCCATGAGGGCCCCCATTGAGCCCGAAGTTCTTTCCGGCTTTGAAACCTACGACTTCGGTCTATAACAGTCTTAGAGGGTTTTTCGTTTATGATTTGTATACTATTAAGTTCGGCATTTAATGAGTTTTATTTGCTGGGTAGAGGTCTATGTGTGGGGACTATTTTATGGGTTACGGCCTGAAAGGTCGCTGCTGAATTCTTCCTGGTTACCGAAATTCATGCCAGCGCGCCATGCAAAGATAAAAGTAAGTAGCGTGAATAGCTTTTATGCAACTCCGTTTGATCAACTTCTATCATATTATAGTCACATCAATAATATTAGCCAGTTTTTTTAGCATTTTTTGCCTTATTATACATTATAAGTATGCTGCTTACACTAGCTGCTCATCAGCTAGTTCGCTAAATTCTCAGTGCGCTTTGTTTTGCCTTTAATATCACGCACTACATATATTTAGCAATAATATTATAACATTTTTGCTATTATTCTGTTATTGATAGTATATTAAGAAAAATAATTCGTCGTTGCGTTTGCTTCCTTGAAGACACAACATAAGTTAGATTCTGTCAACTTGGAGGGCATAAGTAGGCATCTATTAGAATTATATATAGTTGGTAAAATGTTGCCACCTTGGTGCTGTATTCGTTGCCTAGCTATCAAAAGCCTTTTGATTATTAGATGGAGCCCCATGTTTCATTTTACGGAACGTTGTATCAGCTTATGCACTGATATAGCGGACCAGAAGAAGCTGAATACATTTTTTTGTAATCTTTCAATAGATCCTTAGTTATCAGGCCACAGTAAAGTTAAGGGTAACTACTAAGCGTAGTGCCTATCGCTGACCAGTTTTAAACCCTAATAAAAAAACAAATACATGATGAATCTACTACACAACTAAACGGCATGATCCAAAATTCAAGGTAGTTAAATTACTGCCTTAGGGAAATGTCGACCTGAGAATTCAGTACATAAGTTACTAGAAAAAGCGTCTAAATTTGCTTGCCGAAGTTTATGCTATATCTGCGTGCACTTCTAGATTAGCGTAGTTATTTGCGGACTAAGAGGCAAAAGATAATATGGGTTTAATCAGTGTGCGGAAGTAAGCGGTTTTCTTACGACCTTGGTCTAGCACGTCACAGAACACTAGACGTGCATTCTGCCTATTCGGGTCACCATTATTATCACTAACAAGAATAATCTTGTTATCATTAGTATTAATTGTTTACGGTAGAAATGGTCATTGTCGATAAGCATCAGCTCGATGCTGTGACTTTTATTTAGTGCCATTCTCTGCACTTCTGCTGAGCCATTTCTGCAGTACGTATTGATAGCTAGATGTTCAGTACAAAGCTGTGTATATTACATCTGCGTTGGCAGGTCAGACTTGCGTACGGCCGACACACGGTTGCCTTTTGGTCATTACAATCTTTTCGGCTGTTCAAGCTGATCATCCATGTCGACCCGCCAAATCTCATTGTGGTTGTACTGCTGGCCGTTTTCGTCGACTTGTGCGCGACAGCGTCGAACCGTTACCCGGTGAGCGATTGCTATGGTCTCGAGGTTCGGAGCTAAGGACGCTACTTCCGCCTCCACCGCTGCTATCATCTGTCATCTGAGCATTCGTCAAACGGTCGCTGCTGGCGGCCCCCCGTTAGGCGTCACGTTGCTGATGTTTTTGCTGACGCCGCTTGGCGTCCTGGGCCGGTACGGGCCGAGATTGTGCTTACCGCAGGATAAGGTCCGCCGAAAGGCCCGCCGGAACTTGACCGACATGGCGTTGTAGAGCACAGGATTGATGGCCGAATTGACGAAGATGAGCGTCTTGCAGAGCATCAGGTACCACAGCTCGAGGTAAGGCTTGCTGGCAAACGAATTATAGACGAGCAGCACACGATATGGTAGCCACAACGTCGCGAAAAGTACAACGACCACGATCAGCATTTTCACCACCTATTGAGGGAAGAAAATCAAACAAATATAGCGATAAACAGGCTGGATAAAGCAAATTGTTATCGACCTAAAAATGAAACAATCATTAGAGAACAGCTGAGTAGAATAACACTTTTAACACATAGAATTTGCTTTTTGATAGGAGTGGTTTCTGATGGAAATCAAGCCAAGTCTTATTCGCTTTCTAAGCCACCCATTAATGTGCTTCGTGATTTAAGAAGTGTAGAATGAGATTCAAAGGGTTCAATAGATTTGTTACCGACTAACGTTGCAGATTATTCAATAATTTACGGAACAGCATAAACCGTTGTTCAAAAAGAAATGCTAGCTAGCCTAGTTACTGTTAAAAGTTTACTTTAATGATACCCGGGCTGCATTATTTTTTACTCATTTTGTACTTTTTTTTTAAGAAGTATTTGGCCACAGTGTATATTTTAAATCAAACGGTGATGCAAATTATAGAAGCATCACTATGCTTCTTTATACCGAGAAGACTTTATATTCTGCGATTTAATAGTGAAAATTTATAGGGAAGTGGACATGTTCTTACTTTTCTTCAAGGCGAAAGACTACTATTCCTTTTAAGCGTATCTTTTCTTTAGGGAGCACGCTAAGTTTTGCTTAATTGACCCGTCACTCAATATCGCATTCTAACGAATAAAAGACAAATGGGTTAGTTTATTCACTACAGATAAACGTACGTATTTGGGTAACCTGATTGACTGCTACATAATTGGGTTGTAACAGCTAACGTGTAGTGCAATGTCTAAAAATAAATTTTGTCGAAACAATTTCTTGGAAAAGATACCATCTCATGTAAATGAGATCCCGCATATAATGAGTCAGGGAGGAGGTCATCATTTGAGATTATCTATATATACAGATGGGTCCATTAGAAAACCCCAAACGCATCGTGTGCCTGATTATGCACAAAAACAGTAGGGTCTTTCTTGCTCAGACAAATAGGGTAAACATCTGCTCGGATCGGATAATTTTGATCGTGTATGTGTGATAGAAGGCTCAACAAGCTGTGCAGAGCATTTCTACACGAGCGAGGAAGCTCGTCCATTAATCGTAACGTGCAAATTATCTTTTGTAACTAATGAAAATTCAATCATCAAGGATAAAATTAAGTAGTTTATCGTCGTTTCAAGTGTTTCTCTATAACGGAGACGACTCGTAGGCGTAAGCTTTTAGCCCATGGCACAATAACTTATCGTGCTTGCGTCACAAGCTAATTGAAAAATAATTTTTTATCTTTTAGTTCATGTAGGAAGCAATTATGGTGGTTTGCTGTTTCAGGCTGCAACGATAGCAGGCCAGGCGGTGGCGGTGGCTTCAGCGTGCTAACAACAATGTTAGTTTGTATTTCATATCGCTTACAAGCAAAATTTTATACTGTCGTGGTCGTTAGAAGTGGACTAGAATAGGGCACCGAAGTTTACAACTATATTCGTTTATAAACGAAAGGTAATCGAAACATTCAGGCGTCCGCTCGACACGGGACCGAGTCGATGTTAATAAGACGATTAAGTGAAGGCCAGTTGAAGTTTCAAGGAGAACCACATAGCAAATAAGTACGCAGTTTTTTACATTTTATATAAGTAGGTAAATATTATCTAATCAATACCAAAGGCACTGACTCTAAGAATAGCAAAAGCGTCGCTTCATGCTTCTGTCTAAACATGTATCTCCATTCATAAACATTCTTGACCGGTTTAGTTTGAGCTGTTGTTTTGGGCTAAATAAAACTCTGACTTTTTTTTTTTGCAAACTCATATTTAAAAAAAATACATTTTAATATTCGCTTTTTGGATTTGCCGAAGTGTGTCGAACGTAAAAAAACTAATGACTTACGGCTTGATCTTCAAGCCTGATCAAACGCATAACGCCTGCAGAACCCTTCAAAGAAAGGCATGTGTACTCTGCCGAGTTCAAGAGACGATTATATTTTAGGTTGGCGCTCATATTAAAAAACAATAGCTTGATAATCATAAAAATCTGCTAATGATACAGGACATAAAAAAGTTTATTAAAATCTTATTATGTTTGGCTGGTTGTCGTTAGAATGAAGTAGAGCTGTCATATGTACAGCCTTGGAGGACGGCAGAACGAGGGGTAGTACTTCCCTATTTGGTCATTTTTTAATAGTACAAGCGTTTTTTAGCGCCCCGTTTTCATAACGGGCGTGGGGCGGGATACATTAGCATCTAGAAATACAGCTTAACAATAGAGACTAGTGAAATCCCCGTAAGACTGGCTTATGTCGTTGTTGACGTTCGCCCTATTCGGCTATTTGAGTAGAGTGATATTAGTGCAGCGCCGTATATATATATATATATATATATCGAGATGTGTCACATTTCTAGCAGGCTTTTATTTACATTATCGAAAGCTTTTTTTCAGATGAAAATGTATGCAGTAGAAAGATGCACGCAAATTACGTAAATGTATATATAATGGATAATCCTAACACATTTCTACTAGCTGTATACAAACGTATAGTGTGCAACAGAAGCTTCCTTGTCTGTTAATAAGAGGTTGACGTAAAACATGAGTTATTCAGTTTTTTTTTTTAAAATAATATTAGCTACAAAATTTAACGATACATGGATATAATCTGCGACATCAGTTTCAAGTACTTTCTAGTAAACCGAGATCTTCGCCGGAACATATTAGGTGTGATCGTTCAAGCTTGAGGAGGGGAAAGGAAATGGAAGAAGCTTTCTAATAATCTCGATAATACATTGGCTTTATATGGGTTAAAAAATCGAAGATTACGATCCCAGAAACATAACGACTACATCAATTGGAACAGTACAATTTGGAAAGCCATTCCTGTTTGTAAAAAGACAGAGAAGCGGCGAAGCAAGACGCCAGTGAAGAACGTTAACTCTTAAAAAGATTTTCATAACTCAGGATAAGTTTGCAATAAGTGTGCAATGAAGGATTTTTCTAATAAATCAGCAATACTTAATTGGACTATATACAAACAATACATTTGCGTAAGTTTCTGCTCTGGCAATTTCTGGATTTAGCCTCTTTTGATGCGGTATCTAACATGCCGCTAGCCTAACGATGTGGGAGTACTAATATTCTACGGATATGCTACCTTGTTACTAGTGACGATGGTGATTTCTTGTGTCATCAACCATTAGGCGAGCGGTTTCATTCGATTGGTGTGAACTATCCGAGTGTCTGTGATGCGAACGGGGTACACTGTCTTCGTTACTGCTACTAGCCTTTGTAATGCAGATCACTTAGGGGAAGTCTGTCCTACAGACAAAAACAATGCTGAACCCAGAGCCGCCTGACTGGACTGAGAAACGGAAAAAATAGCGAATCAGTGTGAAGATGACTCCACCAAGAAAATGGTAGCGGACAACGTCGGTAAAGCGCAGCCCAAGACTTAGGCAGTTTCACTTTGCTTTCAGAGCCATATCCTCGTAAATACCTCACTTACACATAGCCACATTATGGCTTTAAGCTATGAAGTGAGGCTTGGAAAAATTGTCCTATGATGCGAAAGTACAGAAGACCTGTGGATGTCGCCCGCGCGACTTTCTAATACTGATTAAGTTACTAAAAAATTGCCTGTACCTCTATTTCTTGCACGACGTAGTATACTGGGCCAGTTAAGCTGACACCTGGCGTCCAGCAATGTAGTGAACGAAACATTACATAGGTCCGTTCTTCAGTCTTGCTATTGGACCATTTTCAGCTTTCATAGCAGTTAGCTTTCGGTTCACGTGGCGATAGCACAGAGTTACATATGGAGTCATGCACGCACGCTAGGCCCCGTTGGTCAGAATGTTTCCTCGTATCGTGCATTAACTAGCAACAGTCCACCAGATCTTTTCATTAACTGTCGTCATATTATATAGACTGCATTCACGGGAATAGAAAGAATATAGGCCTCTGGATCTGGTGCGAAAAACAGCCTAACTGACAAAGTTCTGCTTGCCCATGTTAGTGGTGTCATGGCAAGTCGTAGACAGTGGATAAAAGAAGAAAAGCATAAGCGGAAACGTCAAGGCACACACTCACAAACGTACAAACTTAAATCGCCACCACCGATAGTCTCTGCCATATTACAATTATATCATTATTAGCATTATCGCTGCTCGCGGCAAGAGATACGAGTTAAGATGCTCTCATACCAGTTGCGTCCGTACCAGTCATACCAGTAAATGATCTGTCTCTGACAAACTAGATGAGCACGTTGAAACTTCAGAGTAAACTTGGTTGCAAGACTGAATACAGCGGTTATCACCATTAATGCCAGCGCTACTGTCGACACGTGTAACCCGTAAGCAACTTATGTGTACGTATCGTGGAAAAGGAAAAGGCGTACTCTTCATAATATGCGAATGCTAACTGGGCAAACCGAGGCGTGAATTTGTAATTACTACGACTGCAGCCAAGAAGAATCTGGAGGAAAAAAGATATAAATTATTAAGATGTAGAATTATGTGTACATACAGACAGGTATAACGGGGCATCAAAGAACAGTAGGTTGTCAGACTATGGGCCTCAGGCCACCTAGGAACACACTGTTTCCACCATAAAAATACTTAGTATCTATAAGATCCTCAGTAATGGAAAGGATAGTACCAATTTGCGCTGCCTATTTGGCGTGCAAAACGAAGAAAGTTCACGCTAAACGTGCATATTGGTAAATCTCCCGTTGCCTGCTTCAGAGAACCATTTATCTTCTATTGACATCAAGCACGCCCCACACCTGCGCAATACGTTGGCATCAAGTGAAGTAGCTTTTTTTCTTCCTCGTAGATCTTCAAAGCAAGGACGCAGTAGTCATAGAAATGGGTTAAATGTTGTGTGTAGGCACGCTTTAAATGGGTGAAGGGAGGCAATCGAAAGTAACGAACTCACGATTTTTCGGTAAATGACGAATAGGACAGGCACTGTGCCCTTTATAAATGAAGAATGATGTCGACTTTTACGACCCTGGTAAGTCTCTTCCTAGTAATTGAAAGTGA